TAAGAAAGAGTTAAAAAGCAAAAAATTTAATATGCAAAGGAGGCACTGATTCTCCCGCCTCCTCATCTGGGAGCAGCGAATCATGTCTTGCACTTGAGCGACTGCACAATCGAGGGTGATTCTGGAGAGGTTTTTCTTTGGCCACCAGCCGCCATTTCTTCAGCAGCAATTTCTTCTCTGCCCAGCATTTTCTACTCGGCGGCTTACCCCAGCATGCAGCCAGCCCAGCACTGAGCGGGGAGGACGAGGAGGAGAAGGAGAAGAGCAGTGAGTCCTTGTGGCTGGCTGGGGAGGGACTCACCGCTCTTCTCCTCCCAGCCAGCCACCCCAGCCACCCCCGCCCTGCTCCCTGCCTGGCCGGCCGGCCGGCACAAGGACTCACCGTTCTCCTCCTCCTCCCTGCTCGGTGCTGGGCTGGCTGCAGGGGGCCACCTGAGCGGCAATAATCCCGGTTCTGCTGCTCCTCGGCAGCATACTTTTGGAATGTCAGCGGGGACGGAGGAGGTGGGAGGCAAGGCGGCAGAGGCGAGAAGCAACACACCCGCTGCTGTGTCCGACAGGGGTCTCGCATTTATGTCCGTCATAAACGTGAGACCTGTCGGACACAGCGGCAGGGAGGTTGCTTCTCGCCGCTGCTGCACTCTTGCCTCACCAACGGTAACCCTCACCGCACGTCACTGCTGCCAACAGTATCTTTGTGAAGGTCCTGGGTGCCGATGAGAGGCTGAATGGCAGGGCCCTGTATTGATAGTGGCGCCCTGCAAAACAAAACCTCAGGAAGCTTATGTGAGATAGGCGGATGGGGACATGCAGGTAGGCTTCTTTGAGATTGATAGATGTCAGGAGAACTCCCTCTCGAATGCAACCCAGGATAGAACTGAGTGATTGCATTTTGAAATGCTGTACAACACGTGGGCATTGAGATCTAATATTGTCCTCCACCCTCCTGAGTTCTTTGGAATTAGGAAGAGTAAAATCCTCGACCTTCCTGACCTGCCGGAACTAGCTCGATTGCCTTGATCTCTAGTAGGTGATGGATCTCTGCAACCATGAGCTCCCCCTTGGAGGAGATTCTGGGGTTGGGACAGCTGACAAAATGCTGCGAAGGGGGGACAGAAACTCTATAGGGTGAGGCCCAGCTTCACTGTCTGCATCACCCACGCATCCGTGGTGGTGTTTTCCCACTGGCAGGTGAAATCCTGCAAATGATTCGTGCTGAGAGTCACTTAGACCTACGGAAGGTCTGTTGCCAGACCTTCTAAAAGGCCTTCTGGCATAGGGTTGTTGTCTGCCCCTGTCCCCTGTCTTCTTATCCTTGGTCTTGACTACAATTGGGTCCAAGCACTCTGAAGAGATTGCTTCCCTTGAAGGGAGCAGAAGCTAGACGCCACCTGGACCTCATGTCAGCCTGCCATTGACGGAGCCATGAGAGCCTGTGCGAGGTAACATTAGATGCCAGTGCTCATGATGAAAATTTAGCCGCATTCAATGTGGCATACTGAATACCAGTTTATTTATGTCTTGGCGCAACCTAGAGTCTTCCGGGGAAAGCCTAGCTAGCAACTGGCTAGCCAAAGTAATGTGCTCTATTGAAAAAGGATGCCGAGGTAGCTGGCCTCATAGCCCAAGTGGCGGCCTGGTGAGTTTTGTGGAAAGAAGTCTCCACTTTCTTGTCTTCCACCTTCAAACCCTCCATTAAATCCAATGGAATGAGGGCCGAAGAGGCCAAAGCTGCTACTGGAACGTCCACCTTGGGCCACTGAAGCAGTTGTTCCAAATCTGGGCCCACCAAATAGAGCCATTTGTCACTACCACTAGGAACTGCTATAGAACCAGGTTGGGTCCACTAATGTTGGACCACATCCATAACAACTAAGGGGAAGAGACTATTTCCTGTTCTGTCAGGGACTCAGTGAACAGCTATTCAGTTTGGTCCTGAGGCACCTTGGGTGGTTCAGAAGAACCTCCCAAAATCCCTATATTAGTTATCGACTCTGCTTTATAAAGCAAAGATTTGAAAGGAGACTGTTTAAAGAGACCAGTAAAGGCAGGCCTATCAGGGGCCAAGCCCTTATCTTCCAATAAGTCTTGATCGGCCCTTTCATCCTCTCCCGCCAGCGATCACTCACTAGGGGCAGAGGGTCTAAGAGAATGAGATTCCTACAAGGAGATCAAGTTTTCCTCCTCCTCCTCCTCCTCCCTGGGGCTTCCCCCAATGGGAGGAACTGGTCCTACTTGGGAAGGAATGGGTAGGCTCCTACGCTGGAAGGCTGCCTCCACTCCTTGGACAATGGCTTCCAAGATGTAATCTCGGAGCTCCTGGGTCAAATCCGACCTTTGGGTCTCTGTTGCACAGAATCCTGCTGCTGTTGGGGAAAAAGATGCTGAGGGCTCAGAGTCCTGTGGTAAATCTGCAAACTCCTTCCCTGGCCCTGATAGATCTCCAAATTAAGAGCAGCAGGCCTAGCTCCCTCCCAGGTGTGGATGTATAAAATGGTCATCCTGCTGATACCCAAAATGGCAGAAAACTGAAGAAATGGATTTTGGTGCAAAGTGGGATAAGCGACTCATTGCTCCGATGAACTCTGAGCTACTACCACGATGCGGGTGCAAAGAGTTGCTGCAGAATCCTGGCATCCGTTCTGTTACCTCCGTGATGTCAAGCGGAAGATAGAATTGCTCAACACAATGTCAAGTGGACGATGCGAGCCTCGTGGCAATTAACAGAGCTAAAAGCAAGCCCGTGAAGTGGCTCTGTGGCTCCCCACACACTTCCTGGTAAGTATGATCGAATTCCTAGTACTGGTTGAAGAATCCAAAAATATTGATTTAAATTTTAACTTCTTCAATGATTGAGAGAAGAATGGAACATGTCTTTCGGGTTCAGATTGAGTTAAGAAACTGAAAATCGAGAAGCCAAGAAGGAGTGCCAAAAAACTTCTAACTCAGTCATCAGGCAGAAGTTAAACCCATGCTTTGGATTCTCCAAGCAGTACAGAGAAAGAACGTTGGTCTTACCTGAATGTGTCTTTTAAGAGGAAGGGAGGGAGTGGTCACCTGTGGGTATTCTCAAAGCCTGATTGGTCCAAAGACTGAGAGCAAACTCTTAAATACTGGTGCCTTCCAATCCTAGCCCAGTTTCCTCGAAGGCGAACCGTAGAATTGAAACAACAAAAACAACAACCAACCCCCTGGGAACCACCCGGGCCCTCCCCTTGGCCCCAAAGGAAAACACCCAGGGCGGGTCGTGACCACTCCCTCCCTTCCTCTTAAAAGACACATTCAGGTAAGACCAACGTTCTTTTTCCAGTGGGAGGGAGGGAGTGGTCACGTGTGGGTATTCTCAAAGCCTGATTGGTCCAAAGACTGAGAGCAAACTCTTAAATACTGGTGCCTTCCAATCCTAGCCCAGTTTCCTCGAAGGCGAACCGTAGAATTGAAACAACAAAAACAACAACCAACCCCCTGGGAACCACCCGGGCCCTCCCCTTGGCCCCAAAGGAAAACACCCAGGGCGGGTCGTGACCACTCCCTCCCTTCT